GGCCGGGCCGTCTGTCCGTCCGTGCACGGGAGAGGAGGGGGCGCCACCGCTAGGGTCGGTCTGTCCCGCTCTCGGTGACCCGGCTCGGAGATGAAATGGGAGCGCGGTGGGTGGGGTGGAGAAGCCGGTAAGTCACCCGGGCCAGTCTCTAAGAGTGTGGGGGGCTAGGGGCGAGTTGAAGCGGACTGGTGGGCCCTCCGAAATGAAGGGGGGGGCAAGATACGCTGACACCCCTTCCCCCTGTAGTCAAAGGGGAAACCGAGGCCCAAAAAGGGGCTAGGTCTTACCCATATCCCCCAGAGCAGAAACAAGACCAGAATTCAGTGCCCCCTTCCCAAGGGTCCTAGTCTGGGGCCTCAGCTCCAGCCTTGGTAGAACTACCTGGCCCTGGAAATTTTCCTGTTTCAGAACTAAATTCCTACTCCATTGCTCTTAAACAGACTTTCCCAGGAGGAGCTGGCTCTTCCGAGTGAATGCTGGACACAGACACCCAGACCTGTGCCTGCCTCTCACCCCACAGCAACTCCCAGGCTGGGGAGGGGAGCCCAGTCCTTTCCCACTTGACCTTCACCTTCTGTGGATCTGTCTCATCCTGAGGTTGTGGTAGATGTCATTATTATTTCCATTTTACAGAAGAAACTGAGGTTTAGACAAGCTGGGAGACTTGCCACTGCTGCAGAGAAGGCAGAGTCTGGATGTATGCTCACCCAGATCAAGCCCTCCACAGTGGGAATACTGGGAGTGAGACCGAGAGAAGCAGGAGATATCATGTCCCCAGAGGTCACATGTGCACCCACACATGGGCCTCATAGAGGCCCCTACAGCAAGGGACTTTGAGGAAGCCAATGACCTACCTACAGTCACACAGACTAGGCTAATTTCAGCCAAAAATAGAATTCTGCCTCCAGCTCCTAACTAAAATATGCAAGTGTTTTACCCAAAGTCAAAGCACCGGGCTTATTCCTGTGTTCCCCTATGTTTATTTCTTCAGCCTCTAGTGTTCCCATCTTCGCAATGGAGTTTGGACAAGAATCTGACTGAGAAAGTCCTGGTAACAGTGGATGTGATTAAAGCCGAGAGTGCGTAATGTCTGGGCTGTATGAAGCTCAATGCTGCCCCCTGGTGTCCAGACTGTTACAGCCAGCAAGCCTCAGGGAGAGGAGGCAGGAGTCACTTCAGGTAAAAAAACCACCACCGCCTCTCTGCCCCGCCCTCCCCCTACCCACCCACCTTCTCTGAAGGTTTTAGACCTCCCTCTAAAGGGGGAGGAAGAACACAGCAGGAGCCTACTGAGCGTGGGTCAACCGTGAGGCTCCTCCAGCAGAAGTCTCAGACTCGGGTAGGGCCTGGAGAGGGGTGGAGGTCATAGTGACATCAGCAATAGCCCTGTCTAGCCTGCACCTGGACACCCCAAATGGTTTCTTATATTTTAGGTAGAGTCAGGGCTGCCCTTCTGGTGTGACTCCTGGGATCTTCACCTTAGTTAAACTCAGGCCTTTTTCTGTATGAAATTCCATCATTTGTGTTCAGAGGAGGTACTTAAATGTAGGATGGATGGATGGATGGGTGAATTCCATCCCTTTGTCCTGGGATATTATCTCCAGAAGGTTTTTGCTATTAAGTGCAGGAAGGGATGAGTTCATTGGTTTTCCTAGTTGACTGGAAGTAGGGCTACTCAGAGGAATGGGATAGGGGAAGTTGTGTGTGTGTGTTTGGGTTTTAGTTTTTGTTTTACCCATATATATCTTTACTACTTATAAGGACCTTTCATATATTTTTTAATTGAATTTATTGGGGTGATACAGTTCACAAAGTTTTGTAGGTTTCAGGTATACAGTTCTATAGTACATCATCTGTACTTACATATATTTTTGATTCTCAGAACCACCCTGTGAGTTAGGCAGGTTTCAGTTGTTCATTCTAATGAGATATTTTCTCCATAAATACTGAAGAATGCCAAGAAACGTTTGCCTTTGGATGCTAGTTTTCATGTATTTAGAAAATAAAAGGTTTCTAAAAGCTGTATCTCTGACTAACTTTAGTTTCAGAAATTGCATTAAACACTTCTTATTTTCATAGTCCATCCTTTACAAAGAATATAAGAAACTTCTTGCCTGGCCGGGCGTGGCTCAGCGGTTGAGCATCCACCTAGGATCCAGGTGATAGGGGGGAGGGAGGATTCGATTTCCAGTCAGGGCACATGCCTGGGTTGCGGGCTCCATCCCCAGTTGGGGGCTTGCAGGAGGCAGCCAATCAGTGACTCTCTCACCATTGATGTTTTTTTGTTTGTTTGTTGTTGGTTTTTAAAATATATCTTTATTGATTTCAGAGAGAGGAAAGGAGGNNAAAAAAAAAAAAAAAAAAAAAAAAAATTTAAAAAAAAAAAAAAAAAAAAAACTTCTTGAAAGAATTTATATGCATATATGCGCAACCCAAGGACAAGGACAATGGTGGGGAGAGGGACTGGGGAGGAGGATGGGACTGGGTGGAATGGGTCATTGGGGAGAAAAAGGGACATCTGTAATATTTTAAACAAAAATAAAATTTAAAAATTAAATATAAAAAAAAGAAACTTTTTTTTTAAATCTTCACTTGAGGATATGTTTTTATTGATTTTAGAGAGAGAGGAGGAAAGAGAGAAGCATTGATGTGAGAGATAAACATCAATCTGTTGTCTCCCGTACATGCCCCAACCATGGATTGAACCTTCAACCTAGTATGTGCCCTGACCAGGAATCAAACCTGCTCAGTGGGTTGGATGATGCTTCAACCCACTGCGCTACGCTGGACATGGCAAGAAATATCTTAAGTCCACCTTTGAAGCCTTTTGGGGTTCACTCTAAGCAACATTTTTAATTGAGAGGAGTGTTCATTTTTTTCACATTTTTTTTGAGAAGCAAGTGGGTGTTGACTATCCAGATGTAGGTGTTATGAAAATCGATGCTCGGCTCTTGCCTTTGGAACCAGACATATCACGATTTAGGTTTGCAAAAATTTGCAAAACTTAGAGTCTTTCTCTCTGGTGTCTGCAGGCTAAGTTGACTTGTGGGAGTGGTAGGATTGCTTTTCAATGCTGATAGAAAAAAAGCTTCTGCTTTTACCATGATGTTTACCATGATGTTTTGTTGCATGTTTTACAAGTAATCAACAATACACTTTTGGAGCCTGTACTTTTCCACAATTTTTGCTTTTTAAAAACTGAGTGTATAATTTCTTTCTTCTCAATTGAGAAGTTTTTGTATTTTGGGTGTCAGTTTGGGCTTGGGTTTGAGGCACACCTGAGAATTATCCAGACCCAGCAACTGGAAAAAGAATGGACATGTTCCTTCAACAGTGCTTTTTGCATTGTGTGACAAACTATAGGCCCAGAGGAGATAGCAGGCCTGGCCCAGGCAGCTATCTTGTGGTTTCCATGTCACAGCCTCAAGGTAGCACTTCTGCCTTATCACCACTGCTGTCCCCACACCGGTAAGACCCAGTGACAAAAGGAGCAGGAAGGATAGGTTTTGGTGTATTGGGACGACGCTCTAACCAACCAAACTACCCGGCCAGGAGAAAGGCTACGTTTTGAAGCAGGAGGGTCTCAAAGGAGTTCAGATGAAAGGAAGGTCTTGAGGGAGTTGAAGGGATCAAAGAAGGCTTCCTGGAGGAATTGGCATTTGATAAAGGGCTTGAAGGACAGAAAGGACAGTGATGATGTTCAGGTAAAAGGAATAGTATGAACAGAGGCAGAAGTACATTGTGCTGGCAAGAAGGCTCCAGTTTGAGGGAATGAGGGAAGCTGTGCTAAAGTAGAACCAAGGCAGAGGACACTGGAGGATCTCAGGAGATGCTGTGTCAGGCCAAGAAAATTAGCACTTTGTGGGCAAAGCACTAGACCATGAGCTGAAGTCTGGGTCCCAACCCAGGGTCTGCTCTAAGTAGGTTTCACTCCCTTGGTCTTACTCTCTGGAACTTTCTCTAGACAGCAGTGGGAACTATGACAAGCTCTTGATCAGGGAAATACCTAGGAATCACAGCTCACAGAATAGTCAAGTCATCAAATCTAACTCCCTCAATTTGTAGGTGAAAAAACCAATCCAGAGAGGGCAAGTAATTTGCCCAACATTGGACAGCAAGCCAGTAGCAGAGCCAACACTTGATCCCAGGTCTCCAGCCTCTGGGTGGGGCTCGTTCCCCTCTGTTGCAACCTAGGATAGCATCTGGGGGACTGAGCTAGAGATTAGCTGGAGGCAGAAGGCCACCAGGAGGCTATGGGGCCACCTAGATCAGAAACCACAAGGCCGGCCAGTCAAAACTGTTTATTCAGCCCTTCACCCTGATCCCCATCATGAGTGGACCTGAGTCCATGGGTTAAGCACCCACAAGGACAGACTACAAGGAAAAGGAATATGGTGGGCTTCCAGGAGGAGGAGTTAGAAGGTAGCTATGGCATTCATGAGAAGGCAGGGGCACTGGGAACAGACTTCGATGAGGCTGTAGGAAGGTCTCCAGGAGAAGAAATGGCCCATCACTCGGGCTCTCTCTGGTTCTTGGTCAAGGTCTCCACCTCCTTCATTAACCGAAGACACAGCTCCTCTTCCCATGGCAAACCGATGCACTGCACAGCCACTGGAAGTCCAACGGATCCTCTCACCGCCTGCCCAGAGAGAGTGTCTGTAAATCAGAGCCTGCTTCTTGCTCACAAGCCCCTTGCCCAGCCTTCCTCACCACCCGGAGGTGTGCATTAACCCAAATATCTCATCCCCAATCTATATTAAGGGAGAGATTTCCTGGGTCTCAGAGTTCCAGGCTTCCTCAGCTCTTGGTAAAACTGGAAGAACTGTTCTGACTTTGTCTATAATTCTCCAGGGTAAAACTTGCTCCTTGTGCAGAGAGCTGACTGCAACAATGAAATGGGAAACTGGGTATCCACCCAGCGCCCTTAGCAGAGGAAAGGATGCGCAGATCCCTGAACCAGGGGCCTTTGCCCTGTCCGCCCTCCTGCCTCTGGAATGGACTTCTCACAGTGTCAAGTAGACCCCTGTTTTTGTAAATTACTCTCCCATGGCAAGGACAGAGGCTGACTTGGGGTGACACCGTAGCAGAAGTGATAAAGGGAAACCCGGGAATGCCCAGGCCCCCCGCCCCCCGCCCCCACCCGT